TTTGCCCCCTTCTCGCCCAGACCCAGATGGTGTTGGAGGGGGGGGGGGGAGGGCCAGGAGGCGGTACATATGCGCACCTCGCCGGAGGCGTGCACCGCCAGCCATCCCTCCTGGCCCGAGGACAGGACATCATGGAAGGGGAAGACAAACAGCCGATCCTGAACGGGTGCCGAGGGAGAGGATGGCACCGAGGAGGAGGCGGCGGCGGCAGCGGAGGAGGGGCAGGGGGCCGCCGGCTCCCCGGGGGATTCCTCTTTGATCTCTTCCTTCACTGCCGACTTCGGGGCCGGGCTCGAGACTGGCCCCGATGGCGAGGACGGGCCCGCCGTCGAGCTGGCAGTCGGACCGGATGCCGGAGAAGTGGCCCAACGAGTGGAGTGCATGGCCTCCACCGGCAGGACATGCTGCTGGGCAGCCGGCAGGGGGCTGTACGTGGCGGCCACGCTCGGCGAGAAGTGGCCCGCCAGGTGGAAGGCCCCGGAATCGAACATGGTGACCGGGTCACTGGCGGGCTTGCTGGGGCCCGGGCCTCGACTCGGGGCGAGAGGAACCATGTGCAAGGGGCGCGCCGCGGAGCTGCCCAGCCAGAGGGCGGCCAGAACCGGCGACCCGGGCTTGGGGGCCTCGCTTGGGGAGCCGGGGCCCGAGGACCCCGGCGTCAAGGCGGTGCTTGGGGAGCCGGGGGCCCGGCCTGCTCGAAGTGAGAACCCCTCATCCAGCACCCACCCGGCGGGATGGTCCTGTGCCGGGGGGGGGGGGGAGGAGGAGGAGAGAGGGAGGGAGGGAGGTAGAGAGAAGGTGCGCGAGTGAGCCAGAGGAAGAGGTAGGCGCGTGCTGGAAAGACTGAAGGCAGTTTGAGCAGGGAGGGGGAACCCCCAACCAAGACATACCGCCGGCCGAGCCCAGACGGTCAGATCGCCCAAAGAGCTGCCCAATAGGAGGCGGCCGTCGCCGGAGGGGTGCCAGGCAGCGGCGGACGGCCGGGCGGCCGGCCTCATAGGACATGCTGTTGCCGCTGCTGCTGCTGCTGCTGCTGCTGCTGCTACCGGTCGGTCCGGTGCATAGCGCCACCAGTTGGTCGAATGCCGAGCCCCGGGGGCCGGCGACTGCCCGAGCCCCGGAACGGCGACCGACGCCATGGGGCCCAGGTGCAGGGCATTGACGTCGGCAATGAAGGCCGAGCAGCCGGCCGGGTCATGCGACGTCAAGGTCGACCCGGCCGGCGCGCTGAAGAGGACACGACCGGATCCCGGGCACCAGGCCAGCACAGGCCCATTTGGGGAGGCGGCCAGTGCTGAACCAGCTGGATCGCTCGGCGACACGTCCGCCATGAGCCCGGGCACATCGTCACCGGGGGAGATGCCCGCCGCGGGGGTCGGGGCGACGGCCCCGGCCCCGGCCCCGGCCCCGGGCCCGGGCCCGGCCCGGCCTGGCAGCGAACCCAGCGGGGCCGGGCAGTGGAAAAGCGGCCCAGCGGCCTGGAGCATTGTCGTGGCAGCCTCCGGGGCCGCGCACCCCGCGAGGAAGGGGGCCACCGGGGTCATTGAGAAGCAGGAGGATGGACTGAGGGAGGAAGGAGCTGGAAGAGGGGATGGGGGGGGGG